GGATGTGGGACCATTAGGGAGTTGGAAGGTCAGGAGATGGTACTGCTGTTGATGAGAGAGGATGAAAGAAAATGACACTATGGAAAGGCATAGTCTTTCCTGCTGCCCAGGACATGACCACAGGCAGGGAGACTTGGCAGGAAAAATGAAATTGTTCCTGGGAAGAGGACTCACTGATGACCTTCTCAGTGTTGTCAAGGCTAAGACAGGCAGTTACTTTTAAAGGTTGAGGGCTGCAAAGAAGACAGTGCAAGCACCAGAGTGGAAGGAGTATGTCTAGGGAATTGGCACATGTCTCAATTCTAGCACATCAGGAATAATTAGGCAGTGTGTTTCTTCTATCAGTGCTCTAAACTCTTAACCTGCAATTCACAACAGCTTTAGAAGGAATATCTATACAAACCTCAGGTTGGAGACTGGAGGTGACCTATCTGGGTTCAGGGTTCCTATACAGTCTAGAACTTGCCAGTCTTAGGGTAGACTTCCTCTCCTGTCATGCTTCCTGCCTGTTCCTGTTGCCATGCTTCCGAAGGCAGGGCTAATGTTTCTGTGCTGGAGCCTTTGCTGGTATCAGTTCATTCATTATCTTCCCTTTCATCCTACTTGGCTTCCTCAGCCAAATCTCTGAGTTTTCCATAGAAAAGTAGCTAGGAAGATGGATTTCCCCCTGATTTACAGATGCCAGTGATGTACCCTGCTGCAGCTGCTCCACCATTTCCAAGGTGCTCCTTCACCTTGGAAAAGGCTGTGCAGAGCCTTCTGCTGGAGAAACCCTTTCTTGTGGTGTCAGTGCCACCCAGGTTCCTGTGGTCGGGCTGCTGCCTTTTGGACAAAAAGTCAATATTTAGGGACACATTCATTTATCCCATGGGATTACCTACGTACCTTAGCAACTTGGCATTTCTGCTTCTCTGAAAGATCTATTTGATTTCTTGGACCCATCAGTGTCCTGCATTTTATAGGTCTTTCTCAACATATTCATTCTTTATAGCAACTATTCTTTCTCACTGTAGAAAATTCAGAAGGCTGATATTATAAAATACAGGAAGCTAATCTTATCCACAGTCCCGTTGCTGAGAGATTAAGCTTTCTTAATGAACAGGGATAATCTTTCTTTTTTTCAACATTTTTTTATTTGAATTAGAAATAAGATTGTTTTACATGACAATTCCAGTTCCCTTCTCCCTCCCATCCTCCCCTACCACCACCACCCCAACTAAAACCCTACCTATCACATATCCTTTCTGCTCCCCCTGGGTGGTGAGCCCTTCCATAGGATGTCATCAGAGTCTATTGTATCCTTTGGGATAGGGCCTAGGCCCACCCCCATGTGTCTTGGCTCAGGGAGTATCCCTCTATATGGAATGGGCTCGCAAAGTCCACATCTATGCTAGGGATAATTACTGAACTTCTACAGGAGGTCCTGTAGATTTCCAAGGTTTCCTCACAGAAACCCATGTTCCTGGGGTCTGGATCAGTCCCATGCTGGTATTCCAGCTATCAGTCTGGGGAGCAAGAACTCCCCAATGTTCGGGTCAGCTGTTTCTGTAGGTTTCACCAGCCTGGTCTGGACCCCTTTTCTCTTCACTCGTCCTTCTCTGCATCTGGGTTCCAGTTCAGTTTGATGATTATTTGTGTGTGTCTGCTTCTACTTCCACCAGCTGCTGGATGAAGGCTATAGGATGGCATATAAGACAGTCATCAATCTCATTATCAGGGGAGGGCATTTAAG